GTGCGATTGGCACAGGACAGAGCGGAGTTTAGGGCTGGTCGCTATGAGTCGCAGGTGACTCGACGGCACATAACAACAACAACAACAACAACTCTAAAACATGTATGGGGACCCAAGGTGGGAAGGTATGGGAGTAGAGGGGTGAGTATGGGGAGGGGAAAACCACAGGATTGCAGAGTTTGGTGAGTGGAGGGAGGGGGTGAAGGGAACATGAAGGATCCAGCGGGGACCTGAAAAGATTGGGTAATGATGGGCTAGGTCCAATGGTGATTGATTACATAATGCACTGGAATGATTGAAACACAGTATGAATGAAAAACAGTGTGAAAAATAATATATATGAACTTGGTGAGCAAAACAATATAAAATTTTTAAAAACTAAAAAAAAGATATGATGCATTGAACAATAAAGATCAGAGACCAGATGAGTAGTTGTGGGTATCATTCAAAGGTATCATTAATGAAGGAAGTAGAAGGTCATTACAAAGAAAAGGGAGAAAGAAAAGACCAAAATAAATGTCAGAAGACACTGAAAATTGAACTAGAACATAGGGAGGCTAAAACAAAGAGAATAAATGCTGAAGTTAAAGAGATGAACAGAAGATTTCAAAGGGCAGCTCAAGAAGACAAAGCAAAGTATTACAGTGGAATGTGCAGAGACCTGGAGTTAGAAAATCAAATGGGAATAACACACTCAGCATTTCTCAAACTATAAAAACTGACCAAGTCAAGGTTCAAATTGCAATACATAAGTGTTCTACAGGCAAAATCTTGAATGATGCAGGAAGCATCAAAAGAAGATGGAAGGAATACACAGAGTCACTGTACCAAAAAGTTTGTTGCAACACATTTTTCAGGAAGTAGTAAATAATCATGAGCCAGTGGTAATGAATGAAGAACAAGCTGCAGTGAAGACACTGGCATAAAGTAAGGCCCCAGGATTTGATGGAATACCAACTGAAGTGTTTTGATAAACAGATGCAGCCCTGGACATGTTCACTAGTCTCTGCCAAGAAATTTGGAAGAAGGCCAGCTACTGACATGACTAGAAGAGACCATTCTTTTCCCATTCCCAAGGAAGGAGATATAAGAGAATTCAGGAAGTATTGAACAATATCATTAATGTCATACACAAGTAAAATCTTGCTGAAGAGAATTCAAAGACAGCTAACACAGACACAGTCCACTGACAAAGAACTGCCAGAAATTCAACATGGATGTAGAAGAGGCCGACAGGAAGAGCATCATTGCTAATGTCAGATGGATCTTAGCTGACAGCACAGAATATCAGAAGGATATTTATTTGTGTTTTATTGATGGTGCAAAGGCATTTGGCTATATGGACTATAACAAATTATGGCTAACATTGAGAAGAATGGAAATTCCAGAACACTCAATTGTGCTCATGCAAAAACTCTACATAGACCAAGAAGTAGTTAGCTGAACAGAACAAGGGAACACTGCATGATTTGAAATCAGGAAGTGTGCATCAGCATTGTATCCTTCCTCCATACCTATTTAACCTGTATGCTGAGCAAATTGTTCAAGAAGTTAGATGCTATGAAGAAGAATGTGACATTAAGATTAGAAGACTCATCAACGTCTTGTATTATGCAGATCATATAGCTTAGCTTGCTGAAAATTAAAAGGACTTTCAACGCTTGATGCAGAAGATTAAAGACTGAAGACAAAAGAAAAAAAACTTGAATATTGATTACATCTGAACACCAAGAAAACAAAAATTCTCAGTATTAGACCAACAGGTAACAGCATGATAGAGAGATAAAAGTTTGAAGTTGAAAAAGATTTCATTTTACTTGGTCCACAATCAACACCAAGGGGGAAAGCTGTAAAGAAATTAAAAGATGTTACATCTGGAAAATCTGCTCTCAATGATCTCTCCAAGTGCCAAGGAGCAATGGTGTCAGTTGGAAAGGCTAAGATGCATCGGATCCAAGTCATGGTCTTTTTAGTTGCTTCCTATGTATTTGAAAGGTGGGCCATGAAGAAGTTCACAATGAATAATGCTAATAGAAGAATTGGGGCATTTGAATTGTGGTGTTAGAGTACATTCCAAGGGCTTCCAAACAAACTAATAAGTCTTTCTTGGAGAAAGTGTAGCTAGAGTGCTCTTTCGAGGCAAGGATGATGTCATATATTGTGGGCATGTTGTAAGAAGGGGCCAGTCCTTGGAAGAAGACATCATGCAGGAAAAGGTCAGAGAAAGAGAGGAAGATCCTCAACAAGATTAACTGATGCAGTGACTCTAACAATGGACCAGAGCACCAGAGTTAGTGAGGATAGCACAGGACAGGACAAGGGCCAGATCTGTTGTTCATAGGATGGCTATGAGCTGAAGTCACTTTGATGGCACCTAACAACAACAACATTGGCCACCAGAGACCAGTCAAAGAGCCAATGCAACCCTTCTCCCCATGTGGTGGTGCTGTTCCTCCAGACTGAGAACTCTATGAATTCAGAAGCTGAGTGAATCAGCTCTGCGGCCCCAGAGCCTAGTCAGGGATCTGATCCACATCAATATGATCAGTACCAGTTGTCTGACCCTGACTTTCACTGATGGATTGTTTATGGATAGATCGCAGGTCAAATCCTCTCTCTAGATTCTTGGAGAATTGGGGCTGTGAATAAAAGGATGAGTGTGTTGTGGTTATTATGTGCCGTCAAATCGCCTGCGACTCATAGCAACCCCACGTACAACAGCTCTGAAGCCTGCCCTGGTCTGAGCCAGTCTCACTGATTCTGACACATCAATCCCCATTGTCCTTGTTACTGTATCAGTCCATCTCATCCAGGGTCTTCCTCTCCTGCACTGTCCCTCCACCCTTCTGAGCACGATGTCCTTCTCCAAGGATTAGTCCCTCCTGGCCACATGCCCAAAGTAGGTTAGACAGCACTTCAAAATCCCAGCCTCCAAGGAGAAACTTGGTTTCACCCTCTCCAAGACAGACCTATTCGTTTTCTTGGCAGTCCATGGTATGTTCAAGACTCTTCTCCAGCACCACAAATCAAAGGCATCAATTCTTCTTCTGTCATCCTTAGCCATCCTTTGTCCAGCTCTCTGATGCATAGCAAGTAATGGCGAAGACCATGGCCTGGACCAGGCGCACTTTAGTCTCTAGACTGGCATTGTTGCTTTTCAGTACTCTGGAGAGAGGTCTCTGACAGCAGATTTACCTAATGCAGTCATCTTTTTATTTCTTGACTGCTGGTGCCAAGAGTATTGGTGGTTCCAGAGAATCTGTGGTTATGTTTTCTAAGCAGACTGCTCCAGAGAATCCTGTAGTTCTTGGTCTACTCGCATTCAGAAGGTTGGGGTGGAGTGGAGAAGGCAAGAGTGATGGCAGTATCTGTTTGGGTTTTTTGAGGAATGTAGAGACATAAACACTCAACTTTCCAGTAAGGGCACTACCTTTTCACCTCTGACCAAAGTCCTAGGAGAACAAGGCTGGAAGTCCTGAATAGAAGGAAGTCAAGGCAAGGTGGGCTGAGGAGAGTGAACAGAGGTATCATGGCTCCTCCTGGTACTCGAGTGGGAAATGTGCTGAATTCAGTCCAACTCTAAAACAGACAGGAAATTGATGCAGGATTCAATCCCATTTCCCTCCCTCCCAGCACCTTACCTGTCTGACAGCTGCCCAGACACAAAAGAGCCCAAGAGTACGCCTACAAAGAACAGGGAGGTGGTAAGGGGCGCCTTCCAATCGTCATCACACACCAGGTTCCACTGCCAAGGAAAACAAAAGGAGAAACAGTGAGCCCAGCCCTTCTTCCTCCATGTCACACGATGCTTTTGTGCAAGGGGATTGGACCGTACAGCCCTGAGTTTCACTTATGGTCTACAGAAGCAAGCGGCCTGGACAAACTAGCCCTTCCTGAGATTCATTTTTCTTTCCTGAAAAGGAAGGTTGCTGCCTCCTTTACCTGGATACATCACAGATCCAGCAGAGCGACTTGACAGAGTATGAAGCAAGGAAGTGGCATGAGTGCTGCAGAAGTCATCCTGGGACAGAAGGAAGGTGTTGGAAAAGCCTAGCAAACAACAAATGCTGGCAAGGTTGTGGAGAAACTGGAACCCTTATTCACTGTTGGTGGGAGTGTAAAACGGTGCAACCACTATGGAAGGCTGTATGGTGCTTTCTCAAAAAGTTGGAAATAGAAATACCATTTGACCCAGCAATTCCATTACTGGAATATACCCTAAAGAAAACATAACTGCCATCCAAGCAGATATATGCACACCCATGTTTATTGCAGCTTTGTTCACAATAGCAAGGAGTTAGACACAACCTAAGTGCCCATCAACAAACGAATGGATAGAGAAGCTCTGGTATATTCACACAATGGAATACTATGCTTCACTGAAAAACAAGGAACTCATGCAATATTATTCAAAATGGGTGAGCCTGGAGGACATTATGCTAAGTGAAATATCTCGGTCACAAGGGGATGGGTGCTGCATAGTGCCACTATTATAGAATGGGACTGACTTCAGGGTTGGGTGAGACTGAGAAAAATTGGATAAATTACATCTACTGCATTGAAACAGATGAAGGAGAGAATTGTCTGAAAGCTATATATGATTGGGTATTGTGGTTATGACAAGAGTCCAATGAAGATTGCATAGTGGAGTGTACTCGGGGTGGGGAAGGGTGGAATTCTATACCAATGAAATAATTTTTCTTTTACTTTTCAAAGAGAAGAGTGAACTAGGGGGAGGGGTGGGCAGGGAGAAAAATGCAACAATGAATGTATGGAAATCCAAAATCTCTGTAAACATTCATTAAAATTAATTTTAAAAAAAAATAAAGAATAAAGGAAAGCCTAGGAGGCAGGGCCGAGTGTCCAGTGACCCTGTTCAAGGTAAAAGTTTCTTTTACCTTGTTGAAAAGGGCAAGGAGACAGGGGGTGTGTGGCTGTATTTTCTGTTCAGGGTCTCTGGAGAACCCCATGTTCCCTGGTCCATTCACATCATAGGCTGAGCCTGGGGCTCCTGACTGTCTTCCCTGCACCCTCTTTTCCACCTAGCCTTTCCAGAAGTGTGTCCCTCCCATTCCCCAGGGCCTGTGAGATGTTGAAGCTCTAACAAGTCCTTGCTTGTGAATCACAGTGTTAGTTCCCAGCTCTTAAGTCAATTCAGCAAAATCTCAAGAGTGGCTGCAAAGAATCAAAGGGTGTGAGTTCCAATGAACTTTATGTGTACAAACAAGCAGGTGCCACTGAACGTTTCTGAGTATGGCTTCTGTGGTATGATACTTGAATCTAGAGGGAAGACCTCATCGCCTTCTAAATGCAATCTCGTTCTTAGTCCTTCGAGTACCCTGAACATGTTGGCCGATTTAAGATGAACCCACATACTTATATTACACCTCATTCTACAGCAGAGAGAGGCTTTTATAAAAGACATAAGAAAAGAGTACAAAACAGAAGCTGGGGGAATTGGGATTAGAAGAAAATAAAGGAAGTAACAAAAACAGAAGAGGAAGAAAAGACCAAAATGGATGTCAGAAGAAACTCTGAATATTGCACTGGAGCGCAGAGAAGCCAAAGCTCAAGGAAGAATTCAGGATACTAAAGAGCTGAACAGAAGATTTCAAAGGGCAGCACGGAATGACAAAGCAAAATATTACAATGAAATATGCAAGGAGCTGGAGTTGGAAAATCAAAAGGGCTGA